AATATAAAATATATAACCATTGGATGAATGTATAAGATTAAATTATAATGAAATTTAGAATATCTTGTATAGAATGATGGAAAAATAGTTTAGTCAAATGAATGATTAATGGTTGATATCATATAAGCACATGCTAGATTGATAATGTGAGAATTTATACAACTTGTGAGTAATGGTAAGAAAAAGGATAGCACAAAATATTGTAACCAACTGACACACTGTATGTATATAATTGAAAGATGTTTTTATGTTTTATTTGTATGTGTATTGTAAAAAATAAAAACTTTATAAAAATATTCAAGAATGTCATTTAATGGCTATGTAAATACAAAATGATAATATCTTCATGTTATTATCATCATTTTTGCTGGGGATCATTCTTGATGGAATATACTGTGGTATGAATTGTGGGTAGATTTTTATAAATCTATTTGAATGGATTTAATTAAAAATGAAATGTTGAAACATATTTTACTTATATTTGTCTTGTAATTATTGAACCAAATTACAAATTGACTTCTTCATAAAAATGTTTCTGAAGTTAAAAAGGATTTCAGCATTAGTAATGCTGATCAGAATTTGTTCAGTTTTATTTTAGTGGGAACACTGCCCCCAAAAATGTTAGCCATCCTTCTTATCATCTGCTGTATAATTTCACATCTATTGGATATGAGAAATACAGTAATCATCAAGAGTCAATAGGATCTCAAACAAAATTCTATGTTGATGATTATACTGTTTCACTTTTTCAAGCTGACTAAATGCACTTCATTGAAACTTGTGTCAAAAGATACAAAAAACATATTTTGGGGTGGTTTGCTTCTACACATTACAACAGACCTACTGTACATGACATGTTTAACCCTTTGAAATAACAATTTTATTTACTATTATTATGTCATGATTCCTCAACTTGTAGTGAGATGCTTGCTGTTAAATTAATGAAAGTTGAAATAAATCCTGCTAAAAAGTAATTTTAATATGCTGATATATTTGTAATGAAATTTGTTTTATCTTCCCAAAAGTTAAATATGTATCTGAAGAATTCACAATTCATTTGCTGTAATATGGAAATTAATATTTTAGTTTAGTAATTGTGACTGCACAATTTAAAAGACATATTTATGTTGTGGTATCTTGTCATCAAGCATACAGTTGTTCTGCCAGTAGATGTGTACCTTCAAAGTAGATTGATGTTAGTTTGGGAGTTCATTTTGTTGTAAAATATAAATACTCCTTGTTATGATTCTGCATTCACATAAAAAATACCAGTGAGAGAATAAGCACTGTTGAACCTCCATATGAATATGCATTTTCACAATTTTTATGAATCATTCACCAGTAATTCACTCAGTCAATGACCAGAATTGCTCAATATTAGTAAATACTTCAAAGTAATCCTGATAAAAAATAATTATGAGGAATGAATTTCCTTAACACAGATTTCTCCTTTATTCCTGATACTGTACATATTGTAGATTATTTGTTTGACTCTTTGAAATTTGTCCAATATTTACATTCCTGAAACTTTTCACTTAGATTAAAAAAAGAAAAGTTTTTTTTCAGTTGGATAACTAGCCTGCATAATTTAAAGAATGTTCTTCCATTCACGTGGAAGAGAACTATCCATGACTCCAAGCACTTTAAAAACTGCAGGCATCAGCCCCCTTCTAAGCTGAAATGATGACTTTGTAGAGAAATTCATCTTATGTGGTGAAGGACCAAACTTCCCCATCAATCGCTTTATGACTCTTTAATGCCATTTATAAAGTGCGATACAGCAGTATCTCTCCCTCCCCTGTTAATCAGGTTAATATATTCCTTGAAAGTATGAATGTATGTATGACTAGGAATCTTACTACAGTTCTTACTGTTTCCTCTCTGCTATCATTTCAACAACATGACAATGAAAAGTTTAATAGGTTCATAAACCAAAAAATATTAGAGCTGAAAATACTTCCCACAATATTCCAACAAATATTGCAATGAAGAATTTAACAGTAAGTTCTATGTGATGTAGCAATAATTCAGAATAGTGATCAAAATTCAAAAGAAATAAACTGTAGATTTACAATGTCAGGATGCTCACAGAACAAAAGAAATGATGTCTTTTCCTAGCTTAAATAGAAGGAACAAGAAATTTGTTTAATTTTAACAGGTCCTAGTAACTGCTACCAATGTGCACATCTCCAGAACCCTGTTGCACTACAATCAGGAAGTCCATTTAAGACAACTCACAAAACAATCAAGCCAAGCCATTAAGATGATCCCCACTGCTGTTCTGTATAACCTTGAACTTCTTCAGCCAGATAATCACAAAGGCTAGATACAGATTTAAGTTCAAGAATGGAATCACCATCAACCACGTCCTTTACATGGCTGACATTAATGTAGGCTAAAAATGAATGAGACATCAACTTGGTGATGCACCTGACAGATGATCTACAGTGTGGACATTGGGATATTACTTAACTAGAAAAGTGTGGTTGGATGGTAGTAAAGAGAGGCGGGAAATAAAGAAGACAGGTCTTGAAAAGTCAGCACAATAGGAAGAACAAGATTCATGTCATCAACACATATTCCCTGCCAATCACCAGATATATAGTGAGCTGGCCCAAAGAAGATATGAAGAACGCTGATTTGAAGACCTAGAAGGTCCTTATTATGCATAAAGACCAACACCCATAGATTATGCATCAGCAGAAAAAGGGCAGAAGGAGTTTGATAAGTGTAAAGCCATTATCTTGGATGAGACCCAGGATCCAGGAGTACATCAGTAAGGTGGCATCAAAAAATAAGCTGTTGAAAGAACACCTGAGGATTGTTCAGAGAGGTCTCAGAGACTAATATCTAGGGGGAGGTTGTAAGATGCAGGCAGGAAAAGCATACACTGAATGCACAATGAAGTAGCAGGCATTGTGTACTGGAATATCAATGAATGAGCTAAATTCTGCCAGGTCCAGCTGCTAAATACCATAGGAAGTTGTGGAGAATAATAGGGCTAAAACCCCATGAGACTTCCAAGATCCAGATGGACAGGCAGTTACTAGCCAATCAACCAGACATCAGAACAAGAAACCGAAAACTGTGCTGTTGATAGAAATAGTGGTGCAAAGTGATAGCAACATTACAAAGGAGTATGAGAAGCTGGAAAAGCACCAGGGCCTGAAGGAGTGTGCAAATATTTGCACATTTGCTATGTAACATTAAAAAATATCACAAATATAAAAATCTATTATTAATCATTTCGACCTACCATCTATTTACTATTTAAAAAAAAACCGGTGGTCCCAATACCAAAGCCAAACTTTAAAACCTTCTGTTAACTATCTATTATAATTTACCAAAAGTCCCCAAGCAGCTAATAGTCTCTCATAAACCCACTGCAACCATTATCTCTAATCTGTAGGATCAAATACTATCGATTGATTCTTGATAGTAAAAACAAGCCCTTCCAGTTTATCATCTTTACTTTTCTCAGTTGCTTCACATTCCCCCAAAAATGTAGGTTTCCACTGAAGATATCTCCATAGCGCTTGTTTACTATTTTTTTCTGCAAATTGGAATGCAATGTCCCTTGACAACTGTCTTTTACACATGATGGATTTATTTCACAGACTTCATCAACTTTCCTAAGGAAATCCTGATGTTAATGCCCCCTCAGTCTCTTTTAGCAAATTTCTAGTTTTCAAGCAAATTCCTCTTTCAAATCTGTTAACAGAGAATTTATTTTCAGTCCATCCAATTGCATGCCTGATTTAAGTATTGTTGCCTGTATCTGAATGTTTTCTTTAGGATGATTTGAAATTGTGACAAATTCATCAATACTTTTATCTAATTTTTCATTTAAAACTTGTAAATTGGCAAACGTTTTTTTTAAAATAGTTTCCAAGAAGTATTTAATGTTAAAGTCATCTGAGTCACATCTCTCTTTTATATCTCTTTTTGGGGGAATTGTAGAACATATACTGTATAATGTATAATATTCAAAGTCCTTAATTTATTATTGCTTTGGTTTTAGTAATCTGAAACTCTCTTAAAACCAAGCTTTCACAGCAGAGTGTAGCCACTTCCTTTTCAAGAACAAAGAGTTGATGTTCCACATCAAATTAACCACAGAAGAATCTAAAATAAGCTTAAAATAAGCATGTAAAAAAAAGGAAGTTCCCATTCTTTAAAAAAGAATATATGCAAAAATAAAATGAAGCAATGGAATTATTTTAGAAAAAATCTAAAATAGAGTAAAATAGAGTATATAGTAGAGTAAAAATTGGTATAAATCAGATGAAATCATTTTCATGTGAAAAACTATTAACAGGGGATTTATTTTCAATCCATCCAATTTAACTGTTGTTGCTTGTATCTGGATATTTTCTTTAGGATGATGTCAGACTGGCCACAGCTTGTTCCCTAGGAAAGAATGATCCTTGACTCCATTCCTTTAGTCCCTGTGCGTTTGCTGCCTCTTGTGTGTGCATCAGCAGGTGGGGCACCCAACTGGGCTGATCACCCTGAAATTGTGTTTCTCCAAAAACAATCTGTAGTGCTTATTTTGGAGCTCCCCAAAAAATATAAGACCAACTCTTATTTTGGGGGAAACATGGTAGTTACTCCTGTTCAAATCTGGGGAGCACACTGCCAAAGAGCTGGCTTTGGCAGCAGAATCAGTTGTTTTTCAGACAGGAGAAAAAAATGCTTCATCATTCAGCATGCCATTTTCTGGGGGAGTCCTACATTTCGGGCGGATATCCTAAAGATTATACTTTTAATATGATCCAGTCTCTTTCCTGTACACAGTCTGGTTTAAATGTGATTCCTAAGTCATCTTCAAATGCTGCTCTAAATGATACTGGATTTTTTTGTATCAGCAATTCTGGGAACCAGTTTCAGCTGTGTTTCAATAGATGTCACAGAATTTAGCTATACAAACAACTCTGCTTCATTCTAAAATTGTAAAGTAATACAGATTTTTTTTCTTTTTAAAATTTCCCTCTCTGTAGGGATGTGAGCTCATAGAGACACCAGATCAAGACTTAACAGATTTCACCAAGTGCCTTCAGATACTTCAACAGAAGATAGAAAAAAGCAGTTTGCAGGTAATGCTAGCAACTCTGGCTATACACATTTTGGCATGTGAATCTTCCTGGGTATGTTTACTCTGTAATATAGTGGCAAATAAAAATACACAGGAAGCAGGAACAAAAAAAAATCATTAACTGCCAAGAAGATATTTCTTCTTGTTTCTGCTGGTGAAACTCGAAGACTTTTGAAGAGTGAACAGAATTGAATGCACATACTATTAAAACTACTAAAACTCTCATGATGTTACCTGGGTGAAATAGTGCATCATATGACTCACGAGGGAATGAAACCTGGGAAAGTTGTGGTTGCTTCAGTGCTACTGGCTGTTGCTATACTGCTGCTTGCAATCATGTGGTCTTCATTTTCAGTATTTGGTGACTGTTTCCCAACCTGTCTTGAATTCCATTGCTCTCTCCCTTACCCAGCAGCAAAAATTTGATTCATTGTGACTCTTAAAAAAGCAACAACTTTAAAGTGCATAAAGAAAGGCCTGGATATTTGTATTGTTTATGTCCCCCTTCTGTGGTACACAATATGCATATGTATCTATATGCCAACTTTGTTCAGGAACTCAAGACATAACAATGGTCCATTCTCCTATATTTCTTTAAAACAATCCTGTGAAATAGGTTGGGCTGGAAGTTACAAAGTAAGCTACTGTGACTGCAAATGGAGTAGAAACTGGATCTTTCTGATGTCAAGTGAATACATTAATCCATTTTCAAATGCTTTCATTTTGAAATTGAATGTAGATCAGCCCACCACTACTTCAGCTGTTGGAGATCAAGTAGATTGGTTCCACTCTAGCTTGTAGGACAGGGGTCTTCAAACTTGACAGCTTTAAGACTTGTGGACTTCAACTCCCAGAATTCCTCCTCCAGTCATGTTAGGTCAGGAGTTCTGGGAGTTGAAGTCCACAAATCTTAAACTTGCCAAGTTTGAAGACCTTTGTCATAGGAAGTCACCTATATCTATTTTCAAATTGTCTCTGGTGGCTTTCAACATCTCAGTGGAAAAATGAAGAAGAGGGGAAAAATTCTAAACTGTTCTGAGGTGAGAATGGCAACATATAATATTATGGTAAAATAAATTAAAATAAAATATTGTCAGCATAATTGTGCCATGTGGAAAGAGAGGGGGAACCTCATGATCAAGATGACATTTAACATTGAGATGTGGCAAGAAAGAGTACAGATGAAGAAAGGATGAAACGGTCACAATTTCCAGAATCACAAGGAAAGGTACAAAATAAGGAGACAAGATACTGGAGAAAAGAGAAGGTCAACTCAAGAATACATAGCAAACACTAATTATTGCGAGAGTTCCTCAACACAACAATACCCACCTTCATCGACAAAACCTCAGTAGAGAAAGAGCTAGGCAAAATGCACGACTTGCACAATATAATATTTAGTTAGTTTACTTTATTGTCATTGCACCACATACAAGGAAATCAAACACCATCTTCAGTGCACATCATGACCGTGACCATGAAAATAAACACAAACACACATCCTTCACCCTTCACACATTGAACCGTAAACCCCTGACACCACACCAACACTGCACTATACAGCAGAATTCAAAAGAGCTACTGCCCTGGGATAGAAGTTGCTTTTCAGCTTATTTGTCCTTCTTTTTATTATTCTGTACCATCTGCCAGATGGTAATAGTTCAAAAAAAGGGTTCCCAGGATGAGATGGATCTTTGAGAATGTTTTGAACTTTCTTATGGCAGTGGGAGCTATAAAGCTCTTCCAAAGAGGGGAGAGGGCAACCAACGATCTTCTGGGCAATTACATTAACCCTCTGGAGTGCTTTCCTATCTGCCACTGTGCAATTGGCAAGCCATACAGATGTGCAGTATGTTAAAATGCTCTCTATGGTGCAGCGGTAGAAGGTCACCAGCAGTTTTTCATTCAGTTGTTGTTTTCTGAGAAGCCTCAGGTAGCATAATCTCTGCTGGGCCCTTTTGATCAGGGCTGCAATGTGGGCACCCCAGGTCAGGTCCTCTTTTAGGGTAACACCCAGAAACTTAAAATTGGCCACCTGCTTCACTCAGTCTCCATTGATAAGCAAGAGCTGGATGTCTGGTCTGTTCCTTCTATAATCCACTATAAGCTCCTTGGTCTTATTGGTGTTGAGGACCAAGTTGTTGTCTCCACACCATGAAAGCAACCGATCCACCTCATCTCGCCCAGAGATAAGTCCCACCACTGTTGTATCATCTGCAAATTTAGCAATAGTATTACTAACATGAGTAGGAATGCAGTCATGCACATAAAGAGTATAGAGTAAGGGACTCAACACGCAACCCTGTGGTGTACCAGTGTTAAGAATAAGGGCTGAAGAGGTATGATTACCTAATCTGACCCTCTGTGAGCGGCCAGACAGAAAATCCATAATCCAAAGGCTGATTGAATTAGAAAGCCCAAGTTCCATAAGTTTAGACACTAGTCTATGTGGAAGAATTGTGTTAAATTCAGAACTAAAATCCATAAAAAGCATCCTCACATAGCCCTCCCGTTGTTCAGAGCAGTGTGAAGCGTGATGGCTATAGCGTCCTCTGTAGATCTATTTTTTCTGTATGCAAACTGGTGTTTATCAAATGTATGCAGAAGACCAGAAATGATGTACCGGCAGACCAATTTCTCAAAGCACTTCATGATGGTAGGAGTGAGTGCCACTGATCTGTAATCGTTGAGGTTATTGATAGGGAACTTCTTTGGCAGCGGAACAACAGTGGAAGCCTTCAAACAAAATGGAATAGTGGATTGGGATAAAGACCGATTGAAGATCCTGGTAAAGACTCCAGCCAACTGATCAGCACAGTTTTTAAGCACTCGGCCAGAGATACCATCAGCACCGGCAGCCTTTCCAGGGTCCACAGCCCTCAGAATTCTTCTCACCTCCTGTTCCTCCACAATGAGGTGGGGGCTACAATTGGCTGGTAGTTGTCTTTTAGGTGTCTCTGATGTCTCCACTTCAAAGCGAGCAAAGAAATGATTCAGTTCCTCTGCCAATGAAGCATCCCCTCAGCAGGGATGACATTGGTCGGTTGATGGTTTGTAATTTGTTGAATACCTCGCCACACCTGCCTCATGTTATTGCTATAAAAATTGTCTTCAATCTTCCTCTTATAATCAGTCTTGGCCTTCCGAATATTTTTCTTCAGATTAGCTCTGGCAACACTGTATGTTGCCCCATCACCAGACCTAAAGGCCTTGGTCCTGTCATGCAAGAGGCACTGGACTTCCTTGGTCATCCAGGGTTTCTGATTGGGTTAGATCCTAATATGTTTATCCACAGTGATAGTATCTGTGCAGTGTTTGATATAGCACAGAACAGTTGCAATGTGCACCTCTAGGTCAGGGTGGTAAAAGATGTCCCAATTGTGTTCTCAAAACAATCCTGAAGTTGTTGGGAAGCATCTTCTGGCCAAGATTTCACTGTCTTTATTATAGGCAGAGCTCGTCTCCTAAGAGGGATGTAAGCTGGTGCTAAAAGCAATGGCATATGGTCTGATTGTCCCAAATGTGGTAATTGTATAACCTTATAGCCATTGATGTTGGTATATATTTTGTCCAATATGTTTGCTCCTCTAGTAGCACACTTAAAATGCTAATAGAATTTAGGGAGCACTTCTTTTAAATCAGCTTGATTAAAGTTCCCTGCTATAATATGCACAGCATCAGGATACTTATTCTGCTGACTACTAACAACGTTACACAAGAATCCCAAAGCTATGGTAGTATTGGCATCAGGTGGGATATAGACTGCAGTAATCAAAACCATGCTGAATTCCCATGGAAGATATATGGGTCTTCACTCCTCTACTCGTTGCAGAATACCTTATGCCACCAGACTTGAAATTCTAGACCTAGAAAACCTAGAACTACGCCGCCTTCGGTCCGATCTAACTATAGTTTATAAAATCATACATTGCAATGTCCTACCTGTCAATGAATACTTCAGCTTCAACCATAACAATACAAGAGCAAACAATAGATACAAATTCAAGGTTAATCGCACCAAACTTGATTGCAGGAAATACGACTTCAGCAACAGAGTGGTCAATGTCTGGAATACTCTACCTGACTCTGTGGTTTCTTCCCCAAGCCCCAAAAACTTTAACCTTAGACTTTCTACTATTGACCTCACCCCTTTCCTAAGAGGTCTGTAGGGGGCGTGCATAAGCGCAGCAATGTGCCTACCGTCTCTGTCCTATTGTTTCTTTTATTTTTCTTATATGTATCCACGTATTCATAACTATGTTTTTACTTATATCTATTATCTTGTAAGCAATTGGCAAACCAAATAAAATAAAAAATAAAAATAAATACATTTAAGTGTCATATACTCCAGATCCATGGAGCAGTGGCTGTCTATAGTCTTTGTATTGATACACCAGCTTTCGTTCACATAAAGGCTTAAACCTCCCCCTTTGATCTTGCCAGAATCTGTACTCCTCTCCTGTCGGTGAGCTATGTAGCCTTCCAGCTCAACAGCTGCATCTGGAATGAGTGAATGAAGCCAAGTTTCTGTGATTAGCAAAACACAGCAGTTCTTGATGAATTTAGTCTTTGCAATCTGTAGCCTTAATTCATCTGTTTTGTTAGTCAGGGATCTTGCATTGGTAAGAAATATATTTGGAATTGAAGGCTTGTGTGGAAACTTACTCAGCCTAAAGAAAACCCCAGCAGGGCATCCTCTCTTCCTCTTCCTGTTCTTCTTTCTCCGCCTCTTCTTCCTTCCTACAGGGATAGTGATCCATGGCTCCCCCAGGGAGCTGCCTCCTTCGGTATGTTATGAGAACGTATAAAATCATCCGTAATAGCCTTTTCACATTTCAGTCCAATTTGTAGCAAGGCTTGCCGACTATAGATGCTCCTTGCCCCACAGGATTCAATCAAGGAAAGGATCCAAAACACACACAGAATCATACACACCATACACTGAAAGAAGGAGTGGTTAGCCGCAACATCCATGTGCGCAGCCATCTTGAAAGATAGGAT